CACGAGACGTTTCATGAGCCGCCGCTTTGCAATACACGTGGTACGGCATGATCCACGTTACATTGCATGAGCCACGTGCTTGTACAACACGTGGCATGGTATAAGGGAGGTATGCCAGCTACACGTGGCATAGTATGAGCCAAGTGCACGTACTGTACGTGGCGTGGCATGACGTACGGATGCGTACAGCACGTAGATCGGTGGTGAGCCACGTGTACGAAGTGACACTCGAAGTGACACTCGAAGTGACACTCGAAGTGACACTCGAAGTGACACTCGCAATGATACGATGCCAGCGGCCGACTTTCGAGATGCGGGCAGATATTTCACGAAGAGCGCCTTGCAGAACGACCGCACGCGCTGGTGTCCGTCTATCCATTGCCGGTTATCACGAATTGGAGCCGTGGGGCCGCGTTTTGCGCGTTTCAAAGACAACTAAACAAGTGCGCTTGCTCGGCGCTGTTGGTGCATTGTGCGCAGTGTTGCACAGCGCACACTACGCGACGTTTGTGTGGACATGATTCACGTAGTTCCGCGGTAAGTGGAATGCATGCTTATTCGAGAGCTGCTCAACATCAGTAACGCAGAGGGAAGAAGTCCGTCGCTGATCACGAATGTTGCAGCTGTATGAACACGCTGGCAGCGCGTCAGAAAAGAGCCGCTTCCGTCCACCGAAGAGCCACCCGACGCGTCGCACCGCCCCGCCCGCCTTTCTACAGGGAGACCTGTCACACCGCGCCCGCCCGTTCTTCCACAGGGCAACGCGTCACACCGCGCCCGCCCCCCCCCCCCTTCCACAGGGAGGCGCGTCAAACCGCGCCCGCCCCCCCCCCCCCTTCCACAGGGAGGCGCGTCAAACCGCCCCCCCCCCCGCTTCCACAGGGAGGCGCGTCAAACCGCGCCCTCCCGCCCTTCCACAGGGGCCACACCACGCCAGCCCGCTCTTCCAGAGTAAGATGCGCCATACCACGCCCGCCCGCCTTCCACAGGGCGACGCGTCACACCGCGCCCGTCCGCCCTTCCACAGTGAGCTGCGCCATACCACGCCCGCCCGCTCTTCCCCAGTGAGCTGCGTCACACCGCGCCCGCCCGTCCTTCCACAGGGAGATGCGCCATACCACGCTCGCCCCCCTTCCACAGGGAGGCCGCTCTCACAGCTCGCTCCCGTCCCGCTGGAACGCCGCTGTCCCTCCGCCCCGCCCAGGCCGAAGCTCGAAGGGCCGCGGTGTCTCAGAGGGGAGCGAGTGGCGCACGGCCGCGTCCGGCCGGCCGGTGCGAGCACATCCCGGTGGAGGGCATCATATCGACTCAGTACTGCCAACGACCGGCGACCACCCCGGTTCATAACAGCCGCCGCCCTCCCCCCAAATTACGCCGCCGAGGACACAGCCGGTCAGCCGCGGCCCGTGCCACGAAATGCATTGATCAGGGGTGGGGGGGGGGGGGGGGGGGGCTGCCGGCAGGCAGACAGGAAGACGAGAGTATTTTTGCCTCCCACACAACAAATTCGGGGAGTCCTTTTCCCAAAATAATACATTGCAGCTATCCGTTTATTGCCACAATTCAGATGAAGGAGGCACCCACAACTGAGAAAGGCTGCAATAAATAAGGACCAGAGGCCTCTTGCTACATCCCGAGGCCCATTGCCGCATCATGAGGCCACCTTCATGAATAAGATAGCACATGGGCTGATAATGTCCATTGCTGTGTTAAGGAGGCACCTTACGACTGGCTCGGGCTCAGGAAGACCCCGTTCTAAACTAGGAGACTCTGTTCTGGGTCAGAAGACCAGGAGTGGTAAAACGCCCCGACTTGGTTGATAAAGTCGGCGACAAAATGTATATTTTCAGGGGGTGCTTCGGTCTAAAAAATGTCTTTCACTGACAATTGCGTTGACGACCACGACAAAACCTTGCAGCGCGCACTGCAAAATCTACGATGAGGCGTTCACGGCGATGCATTTCGTCACACAACACTAGCAGGAGTTTTTGTTAAGGCCATTTACCTTCCCACACGGCACCTTTGCATCGTTTTTTGGTTTCATCATAAGTCGGTCACGAAGTATCCTAAGACTGCTTGTCGGCCGCTTGATTCGATGACAGGTCGGCGGCGACTGGGTGTACTTCAATATCCCAGCCTGTCGGCCGATTCGCTGTTGTTACGGGCCGGCTCTCTGTGGTTCTGGTCAATTCTAGTGTAGTGGTCAAGACCCGCGTCTGGCAAGCCAGAGGCACGGGGTTCGGTTCCCCTCGGTGCCTGCCCTTCCTGCCAGGGTGAGAGGACTGCTGACGCCATAAGGCCCCAGCAGCGGAATGCGCCGTAAAGCGCCGGTGACACGAACCGTTCAGGGCTGGTATTGATCTCTTTCGGCCCTCTGTGTACTCAAGGTCCTGTGGCCGATGAGTAAGTGCTGAGGAAGTGAGGTCACTTGACCGCTCGCTGGGTCGCTGTTGTTGATGGCCCGCTGGCCGCTAAGTAAGTGCTGAATAAGTGAGGCCACTTGACCGCTCGCTGGGTCGCTGTTGCTGTTCATGGCTCACTGACTGCTCAGCGGTCCGGTTGGTCGTCCGAGTATACAGCTGCATCCTCACGACCCTTCCCACACTTGGTGTTTTGGCCATCACAAGGCCCATTCAAACAGCGAAGAGCTCTTCTGGCTGTTCGTGAGCCCCTCCGACCGATTTAAGGGAGCGCTCCACATTGGTATGGGGTTTTGGGCCGAAATAGCCATTTAGAAGCTTATTCGGTGCAGTTCACAGCCCTGTCGTTTTTAAGACCTAAGACCCTCTAGTTTCTTGGCTACACGCACGCCAAGATGCGCAAACTATTTCAAGGGATGAAAGCTGCGATCTTGGATGATATGAGCACCAGACACCGCAATCATACACGTCTGGACAGTTCCCCATTTCAGGGCCATTCAGGTATGCAAGACGGCACAGCAACGCTATTCGAATCCAGCTACCTCACTGGCCGCATGGCGTTCAAGGCCAGGAAGAATATTAGCGTCGAGTCGGTCAGGTCTGGCACCCGTAAACACGATTTCTGATAAAAGCAGGGGTCAGCTGGCTCTCAATCAGCGTTGAGCAAGCTGTGCAGGCTTCAGTCAGAAATCACGTTTTATGATAAAATGCGATTCTTGATTGAAATGACGGAAAAAGACTTGCAATCAAATAATGAACGAGTAGCGCCATAACCGAACAAGTGAATACGACTCCCCTTCTTAGACTCACGAATGAATACGTAAGAACACGAGAACAGGCCAAACCCGAGCACACAAGGATATATGCCTCAGCGGCCACTTCTAGCACCACCATGCCATTCTTCGGCGAGTTTAAAGTACCCCAAGACTAGTAGTACTTGCATCCTTGCGCTCGTGACTCAGTGAGTCATGAGTGCAAGGATGACAATTTCGCACGGCTAGTTCGGCAGCAACTCAACGTCATACGAACGTCCCATGACGCGATCAAACAATGACGTACTGAGGAGCATGGTTATTGAATAAGGAAATAGTGTTGTCTCGAGCAGTCTCGCTTAAAAGCATAGCAATAGTTAAGTGAGCTTATTTCACCACAGCTGACGCTGCTTCAGTATCTTCAAATGTGGGACATTTCCTTTAATAGCCGTTTGGACGTTTCTTAGTAATCGCGCAAGGCTCTCTAGTCTACTCAGCGTCCCTCTGGCCACTCAGGGGCCCATTGGCTCTTCAGACTGGCCACTCGGGGGCCTCTTGACTCATCCGGGGCTTGTCTCGCTACTGAGAGCCGCTCTGGCCGCTGAAGGCTTCTCTGGGCTCCGAGACGCCCGTCGTGAGTTCTCCGCGGCTCCACGGTCACCCCAGAACCGTTTTAGGCGCTCGGAAGCTTCTAACTCCGCCTGCCCCTCTGGATAGTCGTGGTCCCTGCCGCTCCATGGTCACCCCAGAACCGTTTTAGGCGCTCGGAACCTTTTAACTCCGCCTGCCCCTCTGGATGCTCGTGGTCCCTGCCGCTCCACGGTCACCCCAGAACCGTTTCAGGCGCTCGAAGCCTTGTAACTCCGCCTGCCCCTCTGCATACTCGTGGTCCCTGCCGCTCCACGGTCACCCCAGAACCGTTTTAGGCGCTCGGAACCTTTTAACTCCGCCTGCCCCTCTGGATGCTCGTGGTCCCTGCCGCTCCACGGTCACCCCAGAACCGTTTCAGGCGCTCGAAGCCGTCTAACTCCGCCTGCCCCCCTGCATACTTGTGGTCCCTGCCACTCCACGGTCACTCCAGAACCGTTTTAGGCGCTCGGAACCTTTTAACTCCGCCTGCCCCTCGGGATGCTCGTGGTCCCTGCCGCTCCACGGTCACCCCAGGACCGTTTAGCCGCTCGGAGCCTTCTAACTCCGCCTGCCCCTCTGGATGCTCGGGGTCCGCTTAGCTCCGCAGGGCCCGTTTCACCATCGCGGGGCTGCAGCCATCTGATCGCGACGGTTGGGATTACGCGGCACCTTTAGACTCGGAGGCCCCCTCGCTAGCCCGTAGCACCTCGTCCTGGATTAGGAGGCCCCTCTACCCGCCAGGCCCCTTTAGGCCCCTCTACCTCGTCCTGGATTAGGAGACCCCTCTACCCGCCAGGCCCCTTTAGGCCCCTCTACCTCGTCCTGGATTAGGAGGCCCCTCTACCCGCCAGCAGGCCCTGCTTGACGTGACAGATACTCTCTGTCAGATTCCTCGGATGCCCCACAGTTATTTTTTTGTATCTGGCATTTGGCTTTTTGGGTATGGTGCATGCAACAGTTGATAAACGGGCGCACACTCTTGGTGCCCCTTCCCCTTGAATTTGACACTACCCAGGATGCCACCTGCGAACAGGCCCCGTTACCGATCCCGTTCCAACTCAAGAGCCGTGACGTAGTCCATGGTATGAATGCATCTCTGGCGGGGCGGGGGCGGGGGCGGGGGCGGGGGGGGGGGGCTGAGACCTGCGGCTGCAGCAATGTTTATGTTTATTGTGTATATTATGTTTATTATATCTTATGTTACTCATATGTTTATTGTTCTGCGCTGCACGGCTGGGCACGTGACGACAGAGACGGCAGACGACGAGAATTTCCATGTCTACAGCGTGACCTGCGCCTGAGGAGAAGCTCGATGGGGCGACCCTTTAGGCCGCCATTCCGGAACCGGAATATCATAGTGCGGTCATATGCATCGACGATTTTAACTTTAACGAATCCACGCGTGCTAAAAAGCTCAGAACCGGGTACACGAATGCGAGCCAAACATGAGCCCTAACAGAGAAAGACGATGCGACTCCTCTTGCTACATGGCACCACTCCGAAATGATAAGCTCATAGGCGGCAACACTCCAGCAAAGGTTAAGACATGCATCAGCCGGGAGCAAACACCACAAATCAGACAATACCCGCAAACCCCGCGCCGTCATCCAGCGACAGGCGGCCTGCATCAGCCCTCCACCTCGGACCAGGTCACTCCAAAAACCACACCCAAGGCACGCCTCCATTGCATCCACCGCTGGACAGCGGCGCACGCCACCTGTCGCCGTCTCTACGTACCGGCGCGCCGTCTATTGCAGTGAGTATTGACGTAAAACAGAAGCGAACCACTTCGCACGGAGCAGCGGCGTCTCTCCATCCATTGCGCTTCGGTAATGCGGCGCGGCACACGGGGTCTTCACCAAGCAAACAGCAACCCAATCAGTCGTTACGCTGCCCACCGGCCACCAGCGTGACGTCACTACAACAGCTGTCAAAGTCGACGAGCTTGCACCGCGGGCAGGCGTCGAGCCGCAATGGCGCTCCACGCGGCCCCACAAAAACTGAGGTATCCGCGCCTTACCGCCAGATGTCACGGATGGTCACTAGAACTCATTCCTGCCACGTTACTGACCAGTTTGCCCACGACGGGCGGCACGCGCCCTCTATTGGACGCCGCTTGCGTTCACGGGGAGCGGCACGGTAGAAAGGAGACGGTGGATATTTTTGTGCAGATCCCGGGGATCGAACCCCGCTCGACTGACGCAGCAGGCGGCCGCGCAGACGCTACAGTTGTTGACGCGCAGACGCTGCAGTTGCTGACGCGCAGACGCTTCAGTTGCTGACGCCCAGACGCTTCAGTTGCTGACGCCCAGACGCTTCAGTTGCTGACGCACAGACGCTGCAGTTGCGGATGCGCAGACGCTGCAGTTGCGGATGCGCAGCCGCTGCAGTTGCGGATGTGCAGACGCTGCAGTTGCGGATGCGCAGATGCTGCAGTGGCGGATGCGCCGTCGCGACGGGTGATCGCAGACGTCTCCTCAGCTTCTCAGCCGACGCCGTGTCCGTCGGCCGGCGGATGTCACATGTCGTCAGCAGCTCAGCAGACCCCGCAGCAGTCACCAGCAGCCACCCCGCCGATTCAGAACACCCAGCGGACCCCGCGACCCAGCAGACGCTGACGTCACGCGGCGCCGCTGGGTGACGCCCCACCACTCGCCGAGACGTCGCCCTTCGCCACTCAGCCGACGCACCGTTCAGCAGATGTTGCAGTCGATCTCGCCGTCGTGCGGCAGACAGTTGAGCGTCTGCGCCGCCGCGCGCACCAAGTACGTCAGCGTACCGTAGCCGCCGCTGGGCGCCGAATCGTAGAAGTGGCGGCAAACGTAGGAGGCGCCGCCGCACTCCAGCGCGCCGTCCGGCCGCGTCTTCTTCGGCGTGCGCGCGCAGCATAGGGTCGCATCGCCCTGCTGGCGACGCTGGTCTTCGAGGAACACGTCGTTGGCGTGGTGCACCAAGCGCTCCACCTCGACCACGTGGTCGGGCAGCGGCGCGCCGTGGTCGGGCAGCAGGGTGAGCACCATCAGCGCCTCCACCATCAGCTGGCGGTACTCGGGCTCGAGGATCTGCGTCAGCACCGCCTCCACCTGCAGCGCGAACTTGGTCTCGCCGGCTGTCATCTCCTGCGTGAGCGAGTGCGGGATCAGGCGCTGCGCCACGTACACGCCCGGCGTGCCGTCCAGGTAGGCGTAGACGCGCGGGTAGAAGCCGAGGGGCACGCGATTGAGGGCGCCGTCCAGCCGGCGCCGTCGCAGCCACTGGCCGGAGCGCTCCTCGTCCGACTCGTCCGTCGGCTCCGGCTCCGCGGCGAGCAGAGCGTCAGCGGTGACGGCACTGCGCAGGCCGTGGATCTCCGACTTCTTGCTAACCTTGGCCGAGTGGCGCGACACGACGACGAAGCGGCCGGCCGGACCGGCGCCCATGCTGAAGTCCTTGCCGGAGATGATATGGTAGAGCAGGTTCTTCATGTCGTACGGGCACAGGTTGACGAGCGCCTCGGTGGCCTCGTCGGGGGAGCAATGCAGCAGCCGCTGCAGCTCGCCGGCCATCACCTGGATAACCAGGCTGACGCGCAGACGAAGCATCTCGGAGAACAGCTGCGGCTCGGTGCGGATCAGCATGCTCATGTACAGCAGCAGCTCCTGCGTCAGCATCGCCGTCGTCTCGTCCTTGCCGTGCGCGCGGTGGATGAGGTGACGCAGCTCGCCGGCCGGCAGCGGCACCACAATGGCCACCTCGTCCGGGGGAGCGCCCACGGTCAGCTGCTTCTGGCGCACCAGCATGGCCGTCACCGCCTCGGCCAGGTCGGTGATGCGCTTGCCGAGCATACCGGCCGTGTGGCGCACGATCGCCCAGTGCTTCTGGCGGCACGCCTTCTCGTACAGGTCGTCGTACAGCTCGCGCACGGTCAGGCGTCGGCCGTCCAGCTCCAGCGCGAAGCCCAGCCCGTTGGCGACGGCCAGGTAATGCAGGATGTCGCCGCGCTCCTCCAGGTCGGTCGTGTCGCGCAGCAGCGCCAGCAGCTCCTCGCTGCTGACGGCGTCGTAGTGCACGTCCGACTCCGTGCGCACGCCGTGGAAGCTATCCAGCGGGTCTCGCGTCTCGTCGCTGTTGACGCGCGTGCGGGGCGCCGGTGCGTCCTCGGGCACCGGGCCCAGCGGCGCCTCCTCCTCGCCGGAGGTGCGCCGCACCGAACGGCGCCGCGTCAGGCAGAAGGCCGAGTCTTGGACGGAGGCGCGCGCCGCCACCAGCGGCTCGTCGCCGAAGATGCTGCGTGTGCGGCGGATGGCGCCGCGTACCGACTGGCGCCGCGCCGGCGCGGCGGCGGCGGCGCCAGAGGGGCGCAGGCCCGGCCGCAGCGAGTCGAGCGTAGAGCGGCGCAGCGCCAGCGCCTTGCGCAGGTGGTGGTCCAGATACTGGCGCACCTCCGGCTTCAGGCTGTCCGAGCGGCCCGCCTCATGGTCGTTGAGGAACTCGAGGCTGGACAGGCAAGACGTGTTGACGAAGTCCTTGATGGGGCCCAGCGCCACGCGCGTGCCGTTGAGGTAGCCGGTCTTGATCTTGCGGAAGGTCTGCACGTAGGGCGCCGGCACGCGGCCGTCCTCCAGCAGGTCCTCGTGGAAGACGATGGTGACCAAGGGCCGCCCCATCATGTTGGTCCACGACGACTGCAGGAAGTTGATCTCGTTCATCAGTATATCGATCACCAGCTGCGCGTCCGAGGCGAAGAAGAAGCGGTCCATGTCGAGGAACTGCGGCGTGAACGCGAACACCTGGCCCTGCAGGCTGTACAGAATACTGGTGCCCAGGCTGCCGACGTCCAGCGTGGCCCTCCCGGACAGGGCCAACTTCTTGTTCATGCCGAGGTGCGTGAACAGCTTGCCGAGCACGCGCGCCGGCTGCACTTCGATCGGGTACACCTCGTCGACCGTCTGCGTGTGGAAGTCGTGCTTCTCGGCCATGATCTGCTGCACGAGCTTGTTTTCGGCCAGGATCGCCACCTGGACAACCACGTCGGGCTTCTTCTCGGAGCCGAGCCGCCGGTTCAGCGGGTCCAGCTCCGCCGGCTGCACGCAGCCCTCCTGCAGCAGCTTGCCGATCACGTAGAGGCTCTGCGCCCAGAAGAAGGGCGCCCGGCCGACGGGCACGCGCGCCTGGCTGCCCGGCGCCGCCAGCTCGGCCTCCAGGCTCGCCGCCGGGATCTGGTACATCTCAGGCGCCAGCTTCTGGCCGTCCTCCGTCCGCACCATCACCGCCTCCAGCTTCTGCAGGTTCTCAGTCCATGGCAGCCAGGTCGCCTGCATAGCAGCGGTCTATGGCCAGGAAGCAGAAGAAGAGCGGCCACTCACACTCAATGTTCTCAAACATGCGCAACTCCCACGGTTCGTAGTACAGCCGGTTGCGGTCCTCCTTGCAGGTCATATAGCCATCGCGTAGAAAGCGCTTGCAGCCATACTTGCCCAGGAGCTTCGACAACACAGCCTCCCGCGTCCTGTCGATGATGTCCACGTCGCCAACAGCAAAGGCAGGGAAGCTGGTGATGGAGAGCAGGCCACTGTCCAGCTCTTTGGAGATGCTCTCCCGTGGCAGCATAGACTCCAGCACTGCCTGGCACTTTTGCACCTCATCTGGCAGGATGTGGATCACTGAGGCTGGGCCACCATGAGCCCCAAAGAGGTCCAGATCATTCATGGCCTCCATTGCAGCCTTTGCCATGCCAATGGAGCTGGCATTGAGCTCAGGAAGGCCATGATTGGTCTTGTCACCTCTTTCCCAGATGCCATAATCTGGGGTGAAGTACGCTGACTCAATGTAGAACACCAGATTTTGAACAAACGCCACCTCATCAAGACTGTAAATTAGCTGCAGCCCTGAAGCAGTCATCTGTGCCAATATCAGCAGGTACAGGGAGGTGGCATCAATCTGAAGGTGACCCCATTCATCATCACCAATGCAGGTTTGGCCTGTGTTGGTATTGTACTTGGCGTGCAGAGCATCCTTGGTTGACTGAGACTTCTTGAAAAGCTCAACTTTGTCCTTCTGGTACATCATGGAGAGCAACAGGCCCCTCATGATTTTCACAACTCTCTGCTCCATTTCATATGTCTTTGAGCGCTCTTCATCAAGATCTGAGTGCTTCTTGTAAGCCATGGACAATGCCCACAGGCTCACTGCACAGTAAACATTGTCTCTCACCCAGGAGTGTTGACTGCCCTTGCTTGCAGGCAACAATCCAGTGACAGGATGTTGATTACAAAGCACTGTACTGAACAGCATATCCTTGTAGTAGTCCAGACGCACACCTGAGTTGCTTCTGGTCCTCATGTTGAAGCCAAGAAATATTGCAGGCTGGGGCAAATAAGATATTCACTACCACCAATATCAAGATCTGTAATGGCTACCATACACTGAGCACGTGCTTCAAGACGCCCATCACCGTGCAAAAGCCATGGCAGCCCAAATACCTGAAAGACTCATTGGAGCCACGTTTCACCCTAACCTGTCACACGAGTCAATGACATCCTATCCGCCCCAATCCACGCACCTCCCCAGACAAACACAAAATGCGTAGCCCACGGTACTTCACCTTCGAGTTGTCCTTGGATCAGCTGCGAATTTAGATGGTAGTGGTGGACAGAGATCTGGTAAGTCATTGTTAGTGGCTACGTTGTTTTTAAGCTAGATAAGGAAGGTCTACCATCCTGTATCTCTCAATAAAGTATTTATTTTAAAAATACATCTTTTAAGTTGCCATTTATTGCTTTCTGCCAAGGCGTTGTCCTATTTCATCAGCCGATCTATCAACAAAATATTACGCAAACTGGTTGGCCGTCACTATCAGCACGATCACGGCGCATCAAGAAGATAGCTTTGAATGTGAATAGGCGCGGGAAATCTGAAAGGAGCTGCGTGGGGTCGGAGAGTTGTGCGCTATAATCTCCAATAATGTGCGTGTTTCTTGTGTGCATGATGAGTGTATTGCGCATGCATGTTTTATGGATTGTTTGTGTCCAGCTGAATATCGAGTTCGTTAAGTTAAAAGTCATGTTGGCTGATGGGCACGTCGCGCTAAAACGGAGAGGCTCACGCATGCAACGGAGGTTGTTGCAGTTGATTAGTTGGGCTGCTTGCAATGTGCATTCATGTTTGTGGCTAGCCTATCTGTTAAATGTGGCAGTGAACAGCCATGCTGCTTTTTAAATCCACCATATGCACCCAGTAACTGTGATTTTAATGACCATTACCCCACGCTGCAAAATGTTACATGTAACATGTGACACAGCAGTGATGTTGCGGCAACCATTTCCAGGCATGGATGCCACAGATCTAAGTGCCTTTGGTTTGGTGTGTGGTTGCCACTTACTCAGCGCTTTGGCAAGTAATGTTTCAAGGAATCAGAATGGGCCGATCATGACTTTAAGCAGAAATGACCCAATCACATTACCAGCACATTCTATCCTGAATACAGTTTGTTGTGTGCATGCAACATATTTAGTGTATCAATGTCAGTTGGACATCTTGCGCTGTGAATGGCCGCTTCACAGATTGGCCACTGCCCCTTGTTCTTGATCATTTTCTAGGTGTGTATTGAGGAGATTGTGTTTATGCTGCATTGGCTGCTTCTTGCTTTCTCAGATGACTTTTGTTGTGACATTGTGATGTGTGACATGCTTTAAGTTGCATCATTAGGAATCAGGAGAGCTGGAGTATAGTTTTGTATATGTGAACTACTGAGCTGGCAATAGCCCACTATTCAATGCTTCCAAATTTCAAATGATGCAAATACTTGCCACAGACTTATTTGATACCATTTACAGTTCTTTCCATCACATACCTGACAAAAGCCTGTAAGGAACTGTTTTGTCACTGAGAGTAGTACTAAGTTTAATTAGGAATTTGTATGCCTGCATGCATAGCATGGTTTGTGTGAATTTCCATTTCTTAGAACCCTCATAACCTAGAGAGCAAATGGCATGATTCTAACTCTGATTATCACAGACCACCCTTAACCTCCTTTCCCATTTCAAGCTAAGATTTATTCTTGTAGCTGACTCATAAAATGATTTTCATTGACAGCAACTTATGGAATGCAGTCATCTATGTGCTGCACACAAGTGTACGCTGTATGACCTTTGTTAACATGTTAGGATTGTTTGGCTTGGTCATGCCCATCAAATCAAGCTATCATAATTTTAAGTACACCATGCATATTTAATTCAGCCATGTTTTTTATAGACAGGCAGTCAGTGTTGTAGCTTTGTTTTGATTTATTTCAAGGTTTATACATTTTGTGTCTGTTGGAAAGCCTTGCTGGAAGGAAAAGGGACCAAACTGCTGCACCCAGTGATAGTCCAAACATATAAGTGAATTGATATACACCTGGCTGGATATCATCACTTCTCATACATACTTCCAATGTATTTCAGTTAGAGCTCATCTTGCTTCAGCATGCATAAAACCCCTTTTCTCAAGATTTACTCCAACTTATTGGTCAGATTTCTTTCTGAGATCAGCACCCATGCTAAGGGCCTGCCTGTGTGACCCCTTACCTGACCATGACCGCCCTCTGGTAAAACTCGGGCTGAGTGCAAGATTGTGCAGTGAAATCTGAGCATGCTGCAGTGCTTGGCAAAGTGTACCCTGTCCTCCTACATCACCTGACCTTAAGTGACTGCTGCCATCAGCTGCAGGCACCCTCAGTCTGGTGCAAGTACTGGGCAGCTAAAGTGACTCGAACCCACCCCTCCATGGGCTGGTGAATTAGAAGTCAAGCTCTCTAACTAACTGTGATGTGGAATGGACAGATATTGTAAAATATCTGTTGTTTTGTCAGCTGTTTCTGTGTAAAATGACAAGTGGTTTGCCTTCTGTCATGATATCTAAACCTGCAGCAACAGGAAGCCTTTCTGTGTAAAATGACAGGTGGTTTGCCTTCTGTCATGATATCCAAACCTGCAGTAACAGAAGCCTTCCATGGAATATTTGAGGGATACTGCCTTCAAACTGGTGTCTGGACACCACCGGCCTGAATGGTGGACCTTCCTGTCTAAGCTTTGCATTGTTTGCCCTCTTGTCAGACACCAAGATCAACACTGCAGCCATGGGCAAGGAGCAAAATGTCAACAAAATCGATGACTTTGTCAAACTGGAGAAGATTGGAGAGGGTAAGAGCACCTTTATTTGTCTGGCACTCTGCTGTGCTTCATGTACATCATAGTTGAATTGTTTTGCAATATTGTCTTACAGTTGTAATATTTTTACTTGTAATATTTCTATTATCAACACTTGCACACTGCTTTACTATCTTGACTTCTCCAATGGTTAGTTGCTGTGTTCCAACTCAATTGGTTTTCTTGTCTTTCTTTTGTGGATATCAATACATGGGTAGTTAAAAGGACCAGCTCATGCTTTAGTTAGCCTGATGCCATAATTGCTGTTATCTTTGGAAGCTTCTAGGCTCTAGGTTTCCAGCCCTTCTTCCACTGCAATATCCTGTCACTTCACATTGCCCTCTCAAAATGACATTGTGACCACCAACCAGGCACCCATTCCCCACTGTAACCCTAATGCACCACATCTGTGCCCCACATTCTTTTTGCTCTCCCCCCCCCCCCTCCCATCCCCTCTGATAAGGTAGCCAAGCATATGGTAGCAGTGTAGTACCTCTTCAACACGCACTGAAGCACCACCATATGCCAGGCCGTCTCCGTCTATTTTTGTCCCCAGCCCGTGCCATAACTGGCGTCATTGGCTATCCCATCTGAAGTTTCTGAAGTTTTCTCCTTCATAACACACTTTGCACATGCCTCGCCGTCCCGTTTGCGCCGCGTAACATGCTCCCCTGGCGCCGCGTGGCAGGAACGTACGGCGTGGTCTACAAGGCCCAGCACAAGACGACTGGCCAGATCGTGGCCATGAAGAAGATCCGGCTGGAGACTGAGGAGGAGGGCGTGCCGTCCACCGCCATCCGCGAGATCTCGCTGCTGCGGGAGCTTGTCCACCCCAACATCGTCAGCCTGGAGGACGTGCTGATGCAGGTCGGTCTCCCACCCGCCAGGCCGGTCTTCCGCTCACCAGGTGCTCTCCCTCCCACCAGGTCGGTCTCCTGCCGGCCAGGTCGGTCTCCCTCCCACCAGGTCGGTCTCCCACCCGCCAGGTCGGTCTCCCTCCCTCCAGGTCGGTCTCCCTCCTACCAGGTCGGTCTCACTCCCGCCAGGTTCGTCTCCCTCCCGCCGGGTTGGTCTCCCTTCCACCAGGTCGGTGTCCTTCCCGCCAGGTCGGTCTCCCTCCCGCCAGTTCAGCCGGCCGAGCGATGAGGCCGCCGCAGTGGCCGTGACGTGGTCCGTAGAAGCTCATCCCCTGAATGTCGTGAGTTGATGTGGGATCTCGAGCCGCGGAGACGGCTGCTCGGCGACCTGGGACGGCACGTGGGGCCACAATCGGTCTGAAACGCCGTGGCATCAGCGGCCGAGGCTGTCAGTTACGCAGGGTAACCGGAGTGTAATGTAGATGGTTCAGGCGAGAGCCACCATTGGTTCAGGTTCATTCCATCAGGTTCATCATCAGGTTCATTCCAGCTCTGCGGTCTCGCTGGGGCGCGGCGCCACGCCCCCCCCCCCCTTCCCCCCCCCGGCGTCTGTTCAGCGCCAGCAGGGCCCCAGGTCGAAAGCTGCTGCGACGGGCTTCATGACCTTGTGAAGCGGTGAACCGGTGATAAAGGTTTTTTACGGTCTGTCCTCAGGCAGACGTGTACTTTTGCGAGCGTTGCTGATATATCAAATCCGACCACATTTACGTCGCGGTCTTCAGCGAACCCTTGTCATTCCCCACTGTCCACATGGCCAGTATGGTGCACCCCATGTACGATGTTTTTGCATTTAGCGAAGTAAAGGTCGTCTGCTAAGCGATCAGTGGTGCGGAGCTCATCACCGAAGTGAAGCTTATTAGTGAAGCAGTAGCGTATCTTGCGGCGAAATTTAGTGCACAGGACATAGTTGCTATTTTTTGTTGCTTACTGCTAACAGGTTTTCGTGCTGACCAAGCAGAATGATTAGCACGCAGGGTCTAAGGCGCCGTTGTCAGCGTACTGGAGCCATCAGTAGAGCTAAATCTTAATCCAGCTTAAGGTCGTCCATGCCATCCACAGTGCGACAGTGCCGTGTCTCACCAGTGCGGGCTTTCTCAAGGCGGCTATATGATCCTTGCGAACTCTCTGAGTCCTCTGCTTTGTTGGGGGATTAGCCTTTGGCATCGCGCGAACATTCCTTTCAGGCACCTCCATCCTGGGAGAATCGCCACCCATTCCGCACTGCGAGTATTTGTATTGCTCTTATACGGAATATGGGCCACCCTAAGAAGCAGAGAATTGATGGGGGCGCTGCAGCACAGACAGCGCACTGGAGCTGAGCGCTGCGCATCTGCGCATGCGCGGGACGGGGACAAGTAAACAACACGAATGGCCCGTGACGAAGTGGTCATGAAATCCTGCGGTTTAAAACCGCCATCGTTATTGTCAACATCGTGCAATGTTAATGCCGACCGAATCATCCCGTCCAAGCGGATCAAACCGCGGCCTGGCGAGAAGGAGTCGCCGCGTGCTGCTGCACCCCGCTCGGGGCTGGTGTGCTCTGCCGGCGTCATTGGGGGCGCGCTACCCATTGTGCCCGTCTGCCCGGCTCTGCGACAGATGTTTGGAGTAACCCACCCCGGAGCGTGTGCTGGTGTCGCGATACGACTTCGATGCAAATGTGCGGCTTTTTTAGCCGCGGTGTCTCGATTTTTAGCTAAAAATCGTGTGATGTCACACAGGGGCTTGCTGTTTGCCGACGTGTACCTTAAGTCCATTTGATGCCCGCCAGCAGCATGGGGCTGACTGTTGACACACTTATGTTACCGAGGTGGATATGAAAGGAACAATTTGGGCTCTATAATGTAATGAAAACATCTAATATGTGAGACGTAATACCCGACCTACTTTTACGATCACGTTCTTATAATCTAAATCCTACGCATACGAGGTCACCCAATCCAAAACCATCGCTATGGTGGGGATAAAACATAGTTGCGCAGTCCACAGCCGTTAAGCACCAAACCACCACCGTCTTGACGGTCCTGAGGTAGCATACTGAGAGTTGGGCCCCTCGACATCGGAGCTCTGGGGAAGGGGGGGGGGGGGCTGCACCAGGGCCGCCGGCGTCTACGGGGTGTCGTGCGCTGCCGGGCTCCGACGTGCCGCACCGGACCCCCCGAGCGGCGCTCGCATAGTCGTCACAGTCGTCAGAACAGTCTCGGTGTGACGGTCACCTCGCCGGACGGTGGACGCCGCGGCCGCGTCTTAACCCGCGCGGCGGACGTCGCGTCAGTCGGGCGAACACGTTCGACGTTGAGGTACACCAGCCATGCCGCCGTCCTGACGACGGGAGTGCTGCAATCCCGTGGAACTCCGCGTGCCTGGCGCGCCGCCGCCGGCTTGCCGAGACCAGCCTGGTGACACGGACGGCGGCTCACGTACGCTGCTGACCCTCGTCCACTCCCTCCGCAGGAGAAGAAACTGTATCTGGTGTTCGAGTTCCTCTCGATGGACCTGAAGAAGTACATGGACTCGCTGGGCAGCAAGCAAATGGATCGGCAGCTTGTCAAGTCCTACACGTACCAGATCACACAGGTGAGCACCGTGCCAGGTCACAGAGGTGAGCACCGTGCCAGATCACACAGGTGAGCACCGTACCAGATCACACAGGTTAGCACCGTGCCAGATCACACAGATGAGCACTGTACCAGGTCACACAGGTGAGCACCGTACCAGATCACACAGGTGAGCACCGTACCAGGTCACACAGGTGAGCACCGTACCAGATCGCACAGGTTTGCACCGTACCAGATCACACAAGTGAGCACCGTACCAGATCACACAGGTTAGCACCGTACCAGATCACACAAGTGAGCACCGTACCAGATCACACAGGTTAGCACCGTACCAGATCACACAAGTGAGCACCGTACCAGATCACACAGGTTAGCACCGTACCAGATCACAGAAGTGAGCACCGTACCAGATCACACAGGTGAGCACCGTACCAGATCACACAGGTGAGCACTGTACCCGATCACACAAGTGAGCACCGTACCAGATCACACAGGTGAGCACTGTACCAGATCACACAGGTGAGCACCGTACCAGATCACACAGGTGAGCACTGTACCCGATCACACAAGTGAGCACCGTACCAGATCACACAGGTGAGCACTGTACCAGATCACACAGGTGAGCACCGTACCAGATCACACAGGTGAACGCTTGGCAGGCTAGTGCAACGGGAGAGGACGGAGCATCGTGCGGTGGCCAGATCGCACAGGCGTCTCAAATGCTGAGGATTCAGCTGCACCGGAGTGGGCAGGTGAGGGCCAGTGACCGGACTGAGGCTGCCAAATCACACAAGTGATGACTAGCTTGCTGGGTCAGTCAAGTGGACACCACACTGGCGGTGTTGCTTGGCCACCTGGGTGGCCTCACTGCTGCCGGACCGAAATGACGAGTGCCACGTGGACCGGGCGGTGTTTGCCCGCCTGTGAGAGTCGGCTATCAGAATGCCACCATTGGAGGACGGCGTCGGACCGCGCGTCCGCTTCGAGGATCCAGGCAAGACTCCCTGAATCCGGACAGGTATCCAGCGCGGCCACTTTGCGGCCGCCAGATCCGCGAGTCGGCGTCCCCGTTCATGCGCCACTGAGCGCAGCGCTGCCGACGTAGATCTGGTCTTCTGTTCGGATCAGATCTGATTGATCAGATCTGGATCTGACTTCGTCGTGCGTTTGGGAGTTAGAGCTATCGCAGGGGATGCACCAGCGAGCGAAATACGCCTTGCCCAGGATTCGAACCCTGCGCCTCAGCCGCGTGGCTGGTGGTGTGGTGCAGACGCACAACTCTCGTTCCAAAAGGACTCGCGCGGCGTCACAACTCCCGTGTGTGTGAATACCACCTCTGCTCCTCCCCCCCCCCCCCCCCTCCCCTGGAGGCACATGCGCCTGCCGAGCCAGCACCCGACGCGTCCACCGGCCAGACGCTGTCCCGCCGTTGTTTCTCAGCGGCCCTCGCTCTGCCGCTCCCTCCTTTTGTCCTTTCATTCCCTCCCTCTGTCCTCGCTCCTCCCCCCCCCCCCCCGCCCTCTGTCGTCTCGCCCCCTCCATCTGTCCTCTCGCTCCCTTCCTCTATTTGACCTCACCTCTACGCTGTCAGGGACCCCACCCTTTCACCTTGCCTGACTTCTTCAGAATGCCCTGTTACCTGGCCTTATTTGTCTCCTTTGTTTCCATTTTTGCACCCCTGACCTGACCTAGCCCCGCCTGTGCTGCCACGGTTCCATCTCTTGTGGCTAGACCCAGGTCTTTTTCGCCAGATCAGAAAAGATCGGATCGTTTTGGGATGTCAAACTAGAAGAATCCCTTCCCATGACCTGACCAGCCCTGACCTCTTCGCCGCCAGGGCATCCTGTTCTGTCACCAGCGGCGCATCCTGCACCGTGACCTGAAGCCGCAGAACCTGCTGATCGACCGCGACGGCGTCATCAAGATCGCCGACTTCGGGCTGGCCAGGGCCTTCGGCGTGCCCGTCCGGGTGTACACGCACGAGGTGAGCGTCGGCTCGCCTGGCGCCGTTTGAGCAGGCAGCGGCGCTATGTGCAGGCTGCGTTTGACGTTGCCGGCCGTAACCTGCCGCGAGCCCGTGGCGGCGGCTGGCTGGTGGGAGTTGTGCGACCCTCGGACCGTGGCCCCCGGCAGTGCTGTGTCGGAATGTGAAGTGCTCTGTTGTGTAACTGTGTCACCGTGTCATGACTCTGGTGTCATACTGTAGTGCTGTGGTGTGTTTGACGCCCTGATGTAGCGCTGTTACCCTGAGTTGACGGTCCGGCGCCAGGGCGTCACGGTCGTCACGTGGCATGCGCCGTGTTGCGACCCTGCAGTGCCGCTTTGTGCACCCTTCAGGCCATGACACCCTGGCGTCGTAGCGTATCCTTCTGGTGCCCGCTGTTCAGCAATTGTGGCCTCTTACCGTTTCGTGACCCTGTAGTTTTGAGCTTTAAAAATCCGCAAAACATCAATCGGTCTCTGATTGCCAACGTGGAGGTCGCGGTGAAAAGTTGGCTGCATGGGGCTTCTCTAACAGCCTCCGTACCCTGTGGTGCCCTGTTTGGACCTGCACGCGGTGACCCTCGAGCATCATGTCGTGACCGTTTTGTGCTGTGTTACTCACAGGTGGTGACCCTCTGGTAATGTGGTGTGACTTGCAGGTGGTGGCCCTCTGGTGTCTGCCGTGACGGCCTGATATTGTGTAGTGTTTTGGAGGTAGTGGCCATCTGGTGTCTGCCGTGACGGTCTGGTATTGTGTAGTGTTTTGGAGGTAGTGACCCTCTGGTGTCTGCCGTGACGGTCTGGTACTGTGTAGTGTTTTGGAGGTAGTGACCCTCTGGTGTCTGCCGTGACGGTCTGGTATTGTGTAGTGTTTTGGAGGTAGTGACCCTCTGGTGTCTGCCGTGACGGTCTGGTATTGTGTAGTGTTTTGGAGGTAGTGACTCTGGTGTCTGCCGTGACGGTCTGGTATTGTGTAGTGTTTTGGAGGTAGTGACCCTCTGGTGTCTGCCGTGACGGTCTGGTACTGTGTAGTGTTTTGGAGGTAGTGACCCTCTGGTGTCTGCCGTGACGGTCTGGTACTGTGTAGTGTTTTGGAGGTAGTGACCCTCTGGTGTCTGCCGTGACGGTCTGGTACTGTGTAGTGTTTTGGAGGTAGTGACCCTCTGGTGTCTGCCGTGACGGTCTGGTACTGTGTAGTGTTCTGGAGGTGACGTCCCATGGTATCGTGCTGTGACGGTCTGGTATTGTGTAGTGTTTTGGAAGTGGCGTCCCGTGGTGTCACGCTGTACGGTCTAGTATTGTGTAGTGTTCTGGAGATGACGTCCCGTGGAATCCTGCTGTGACGGTCTGTTATGTGCTGTAGAGATTCTACAGATGGCGGCCCCATAATGTCCCGTTGTGACTGTCCGGTACTGTGCTGAACCACAAGCTCTTCCCTCTGGTGCCGCGTTAGTACCACGTGACACTGTGCTGCGACTGTGCGCAGGTGGTGACCGTTGCGAGCCGTGCTATCCCCCGCGACGTGTCACGTGTGACGTGACGTGTGACGCCGTGCCCCGGCCGCAGGTGGTGACGCTCTGGTACCGCGCCCCGGAGGTACTGCTCGGCTCGCCCCGCTACTCCTGCCCCGTGGACATCTGGTCCATAGGTCAGTCAGACCCGCCAGGCCGGGTTGAGCCGCGGCCCGGCCAGGCCTGGTCTGGTCCTCTGCACGCGGGCTGCTCTGCCCCAGTGGGTCTGCTGTCGTTTGGTCATGTGTGATCCGGCGTAGGGCTTCTTGGTTTAGTTTAATCGTGTGGGCCGCTTTTGATCGTGGTACATCCCCGTCCGTCATCGTGCCCGCCACCCTCCCCCCTCCCCCCGCCCCGCCAGGATCTCGGAAACGGCACGCGGTCGCCATACTGTAGCTGGGTCTATACGTTTGTGCTGAGTATGGCCCGAAGGTTGCATGTTGCCGGGCTCAGAGTTATGTCATAAATGAGATAAGCCTATCCTGCGCGTCCAGTCGCGTGCGTCACCGTGGTGGTGCTGGTGGTGCAATCTCCTGGTGGTGCTGGTGGTGCCATCTCCGCCCCATGCCTGACTGCGACCGCTGTTTATTCATGAAAATACGGGACGTTGCGGTGAACGTCGTATTACGTCATGCAATTTCAGGCATTGTTCCGTGTTTGCATGCATCCCCTTGGCAGATCACGAAAACATGGCTAGCGACAGCCACAATCTGCGGCCAATGACTGAAGCGTGTGTGTGCGCGTGCGATCAGCGCGCCATATTCAAAATGCTCCGTTTATGTTTTGAGCACGCGAATCGTTTCGAATGCACGAGATGTGTCCGTGCTCGCATGACTGCGCTCGTCCATGCTCATCCTCGTCCGTGCGGCGTGCTCACCGGCTCCGTCCTCCTCCGTGTTCATCCATGCTCGTCTTCATCCTCGTGCGTGCGGCGTGCTCACCGGCTCCGTCCGTCCTCTCGCCAGGCACCATCACGGCCGAGATGATCAACAAGCGGCCGCTCTTCCACGGCGACTCGGAGATCGACCAGCTGTTCCGGATATTCCGGTGAGACGCCGACGTGGCTTGTCCATCCGCTCGTCCAGCCAGGCCGGGCTGGCGGCAGGGGCTGGCGATATATGTACACATATATGTATATATATATAAAGTGCATACATTTTTGGTGTTCATGAAATTCCCATGGTGGAGCTCATGAAAAGTATCGATCTTGAACTTTGCCTGAAAGTTAGTCTTCACCTCAGAGAACTTTCAGGCCATTGTTGAGCATAGCATGCAGTTCCTGTCTGTTGAGTGTTGCGCTGTTGTACCGGGTCCAAACAGTCCGTCCAAGCCTGCCAGCGGACCACTGTGGTCGCCTCTTTATCAGCGTGCCACGTGCCGCAGGACCCTGAAGACCCCCACTGAGGAGATCTGGCCCGGCGTCAGCGAGATGCCCGACTACAAGTCCAGCTTCCCCAACTGGACGGAGAACCAGCTGGCCGACAGCGTCAAGGGCATCTGCCCGGAGGGCCTTAACCTGCTGCAGGTCAGCTGGTGACGAGCGCCGGCCGCCGCCGGGTCGTAGCGGGGAGGGAGGGGAGGGTGGGGGGCTGTCCTCCGGAGGTCTGCTGACGGTGACTGTGTGGTTGTATCAGTGTGGAGGGCGTCGAGGCGCGTGCGGTCAGCGCAGGTGGCGTCCGGGCCGTCAGTGATCAGTGCATGGGGGGGGGGGGCTGTCAGTGATCAGTGCATGGGGGGAGCTGTCAGTGATCAGTGCATGGGGGGGGGGCTGTCAGTGATCAGTGCATGGGGCACCAGTCCACTGCGGGTCACGGCAGAGGCGGCCAGTCTGCTCCAGACCAGGTCAGGGTCCTCACTTTGCTCCTGGCCAGTTCAGGGCTCTCAGTTTGCTCGTGGTCAGTTCAGGCTTCTCAGTCAGCCCCAGGCCAGTTCAGTCTGCTCAGGTCAGGTCAGGGTTCTCTCAGGTCAGGTCAGGTCAGGTCAGGGTTCTCAGTCTGTCCCAGGCCAGCTCAGGGCCCTCAGTCTACTCCAGGCCAGGTCAGGGTTCTCAGTCTGCTCCTGGTCGGTACGGAAGCCCACCCATCCCAGGCCCGGGTCGGTGTGCTGCGGTCCCGTACAAAGAGTTGGTTCGCCCCAGGTCGGAGCAGGGGGTGTCTGATTGCCTGGGGTCAGCCTGAGGTCAGTCCGCACCGAATCGGTATGGGAGGTTTCGGTGCACCGTGGTCCAGTCCAGTCCTGGGTGCAGTCCAGAGTGTTCAGCTGACTGCAGGTCAGCGCAGTCAGCAGGTTGGTCTCAGTCCACCGCTGGTCGGTCCAGAAGGGTCAGACGGGTCCAATATGACCTCAGCAGTTCAACTCTCTGAAACCACATTTAACAGCAACGAGATTCCCAGATGGTAGTCCAGGTCAGTACGGGTGACCTGAGCTGATGTTTGATTCCAGGAGACTGCACTGTATGGTGTGATTAGACTCCTGCACTTAGACCCCAGGAAACACTGGTGCACAGCCTTGTCCTGCTGCGACTGTGCTCTGACCCTTGCCTAGCCACAGGAGACGCTGGTGTACGCTCTGACCCCTGCCCTGACCACAGGAGACGCTGGCGTACTCTCTGACCCTTGCCCAGCCACAGGAGACGCTGGTGTACTCTCTGACCCTTGCCTAGCCACAGGGGACGCTGGTGTACTCTCTGACCCCTGCCCTGGCCACAGGAGACGCTGGTGTACTCTCTGACCCTTACCTAGCCACAGGAGACGCTGGTGTACTCTCTGACCCCTGCCCTGGCCACAGGAGACGCTGGTGTACTCTCTGATCCCTGCCCTGGCCACAGGAGACGCTGGTGTACGACCCGGCGAAGCGGATCTCCGCGAGAGCCATGCTGAAGCACCCCTACTTCAACGACCTGGACAAAACGTCGCTGCCCGCCGACAACTGCTGAGCGGGTCGTGTTGCGCTGCGCCCCCCCCCCCCCCCCCCCCCTCCTCCCCGCCGGCCGCCGGCAGCGCGGTGCGGTGCGGTGCGGGACTGGCGGCGAGGTCGACGGATGCCTTGCAGCGCGGCCGTCGTGCACGCTGCGGGTATGTCGCGTCTCGTGAGTGTGACCGTGGCGGCGGCGGCGGAGGTGGCCCCGGGGAGCGGCGGGGGACGGAGCGATCGATCGCCTGTGTCGCCTTCCACTTCTCTGGCTTTCTGTGACGGTCCCCGCTTGGTGAGGCCCAAGCTCCCACCCCCGTAGGGTGGCTCCGAACGTGAGTGTGAGTGTGCGTGCGGATCCGTTCGCGCGCCCTCCTAACGACTAACCTTTAAACACGTCCTGTCACCGGGCCTGTGGTGGCCCAGTGTGTGTGACTCCATGTCGGCACCCCGTGCGCGTAGGCTGGAGGCGCACCGATCTCGCCAGAGCGCGCGCGTGTCGGGGGCCGCGGTGGGGTGCTGCTGGTGTCGAGCGGACCCAGCAGCGGCCCACAGCTGCCGCTCCGTGACTGCTGTCTGTCGCCTGTGGCGATCGGTGTGAGAGGTGATGCTTTGATGGGAAGGAACGTTTTGTTAATATAGACTGGCGAGACTGCTGCTTTTTGTTGGTTGATGTCGCGAGTTTTAAAGATGTCGTGCTCTCTCTGTCTCTGGATTTGGCCCGGCGCTTCAAGCCATGTGCGCTGGGCGGCGAAGGTGGGAACACGTCTTAAAATCGGAGCAATGGGAGACGATCTCGCCTAAGTCGAAGCTGAACCAGACTGGCATCCACAGTGACGGCGCCAGTGGTGGCACCGGACCATGATCCCTCCGCTGGGGGCGTCGACGGTGGTTGCGGTGGCTCCCTGGAAAGTCCGACCGACAGCGAAATGTCAACGGGGGGGGGGGGGGGCTGTCGTCGGGAGCATGTGGCTTAGGCCAATCGCATCTCACGAAAACCTACCGAGAAAAAAGGACATATTGTGTCGACCGCAACAACAACAACTCGGTTCTTGGAGAAGCGTGGCAGGCTGGTGGCGTGCTCCGTGTTCGCGGCGGCGTCGCCAGTCTTCGGCCGAGGGGGTAAGAAAGCGGTTGGGGTGGCGAAACAGCGCGCGGTGCGGGAGAAGCCACGCCAATCCACCCACATTTCCCCGGGCTTTGGAAAGTCTCCGGATTTAGTGGGTTTCGTTTTGAGACTAGGCGAGCGGCCGCTGTCCCGCTGCCCTCGCTTCCTTGTGGCGGCGCATGTGGCCATGCGCGCCGCGCGGAAGCCGCTCAGAACGCTGTAACTTCTCCGGTGACAGGCTTTCTTTTTTGTGAAAATCATACTGGCTGCAGGTGAGTCACACCCCCTGGGCACTAACGCGGCAAGGCGTGGTTGAGGATTCAAACCAGGGGCGTCTCCAGGTTTCCACCCGTGCTGATTCTGATGATGATAGGGTAACTAACCCCCGTCGTGAGAGGCAAACCTATGATTTGGCGGACTCCCCGTTCCAACAACGCATCGTTCATGTCTGCAGCAGGGAACAAAGGCTGAAGGACGAGCGGTCCCCCCCTCTCCACGCAGGCGACCACCTGATTCAAACGCGTCGGTTCTGTTTGGTGATAAGCGGCTCGTGTGGAACGGGCCCGGTGGCAAGGCGTGGCAGGGACGTAAGAATGTAGAATGCTGAGGGCAAAACCCTGTTAGCATTTTCATTCCCATTCCTACTTCCAGGTCCTTTCCTCACAACATGTAGAGTTCGACCAAGCTCGTTCCGCTGGGTGCGCCCCTGCTCCCCAGGTATTGCTCCTGGACGCGCCCCTGCCGCCGCACCGCCGCCAGTCGAGCACTAACAGGCGGCGCGCTGGTGTCGCGCGCGGGGTCCGCAGACTGGGAGCGTACTGTGAGTCACGGCGCAGGCGTGACGGGTGCGATGTCGGAGGGCCTTTGACGACATGGCGAGGGACACCGTGGACGGCATGATGTGGGTGCTGATGACATTCCTGGCGCTGGGTTTGAGAGTCGGTAAGTTGGCCGTTGGAAGGAAACGTAGAGGTGCGCCCCGTCGGTGCAGCGTTTTTTGGCAGGCCTTTAACTTGGCGATGCGTTTCCCGTGTGCTGCGTCATTCGAATGCGTTTGTCGGCCAGTTGATCTATTGTAACGCTTGCGCGGTCCAAACTGTGTGGCATTCGTGCCTGTCCACGATCCTCTGGCAGACGTGTACACGCCGCCACTCCTGCTGCCGGCCGTTACCGACGGCGGCAGGCCAGCTCAGGTGCACGAAACCGCGCGAGACGGACTGCCTAACCCCGCCCCGATCCCACCCGTCATCAGGAAGTCGGACTGGAGACATCCATCCACGCCGTGTTTGATGCCTGTTGACAGCTGGGGCGTATGCAAGGGGATACTGGGATTCCTACCTCTCCCCTTTTTCGAATTTGTACACGCATTGCTATGCTTTCGAATGAAAGCATAGAAATGTGTCCTATTTTTGAAAATCAAGTGGCGATAAAAAAGATAAGTGCGTGTGATGTGGTTCGCCATGCAAAAAACGCCACGAGCCTGCGTCGCTTCCAAAATAGGGTTGTCAGTCAATTTTATGTCTCCCTGTTGCGAAATCCTGCATACGCCCCCGGTCGTTACGACTGTAACGGCATTGCGTTTCTCCATGGCTCCGTGCGGCGCGTGGGCCGCTGGCTCCCACGGTCGGTGCGTCTGGACGGGAACCAACGGAGCCCAGGCCTGAGGGCACGTGCCGTCTGGCCTGTGAACAGCGGGCTGCTGGACTGAGACCGTGTGTGGTCAGGAACTACGGGTTTTCGGAGATGGATGAGTGGCTGGGCGTGGTGACTTGCTGATCCCTTACACTGGAATGTTTCACATTTGAAAATATTGAAGCAAGCATCGGATGTTTTGAAACAAACTCACTTACAGCTGTTGATACACTTTTAAGTGGAAAAGACTGCTCTAGACAGCACAGTTCTCAGTTTAGTAAATATGCTCCTCCACGCGTCATGGTTTGATTACGTCATTGTACATTGCGCGACATTGATTGAGAGCCAATTGACGGTCGTTATATCTGGAAATCGCGCTCACAAACGCCAGCTGTGAAGCCTTGACGATCATATTTTTCTTTGCCTTGATCGCCGCATGTCTTACTGAATGGCAGCATTTGTGAGACGTCGTTATGACGCCATGAATGCCCAGGCGACTGAAATGACTCTCCCCGATACACTTCCCCCATTTTAGCAGGCGTGTAGCTCAGAAACTAGGTGGCCTTAAGACGGGCAAACCTGTGAGCAGCACCGAAAGGTCTTCAAGACAGGCATTTCAGCTCAAAATCCCATCTAAATGTGGAACGCTCCCTTCAAGGGGAAAAGCGTGCGCTAGGCAACACTATGTCCCTGCTTAGTAAACATGGTCCCTGGATCCGTCATTTTTGATTACATCAGCATACCTTGCACGGCATTGATTGAGAGCCAGTTGATTGATTGAGAACCAATGAAACCGTCACGGCTTCACGCCTGCCACGAGTTCACGCCGGCCACGGTTTCAGCCTGCCACGGCTTCAGCCTGTTACGGCTTTAGTCTGTCACGGCTTCAGTCTGTCACGGCTTCAGCCTGTCACGGCTTCAGTTTGTCACGGCTTCGCGCCCACCAAGGTGTAATACTTAGCACTTCGCGCGAAAGTCTTAGTTTAACCGTGTAAGGAGAGACTGTCCTGTTTTTTTTTTGCCTGTTTTTTTTCTCGCAGTTATGAACACTCCAGCGTTTGTGACCGTTTCCGCCTGCTCTACCGGTGCTGATCCGTGTATAGCAGACGTTCATTGGGCATTAACGACACATTCAACACGTAAAGGTTTAGGGCCAACACACCGCTCACGCGGGCTGCCTCAGATCCATGAATCCGAACTTTGATTATCACGAACTTATATTCCAGTTGGGAAGAGGCTAAGCGTCGCACAAAGACTACCTTTTCTGGGCATAATCGGATGACCTTGATGATTCTGACATGGCTGTCGAAATAGAAGACTAGTTGATAAACTATACAAAACTGAAGAAGATGAATTTTCTCAGCCAACGCCACGCGCTAAATCCCATGAGAAGCACACGTCTGCTAGGCTAGGTTGTTTGGCCGTCCGCTCGCTCCTCCCCCCCCCCCCCCATAATTTGTACAAATGTGCATCCCTGGAGCTCGCTTAAGGTTACAACATCGTTACCTGCATTAAACATCGTCTGGCGTACGATGGTCTCCCCATTTTGCCATGCTTTACTGTGCCTTTTGATTATGTTGCGTGTAATGTCCTCGATATTCTTTCGTTTTATCTCCCGTTTGTTTATTTTTTAAAACAAAAATGACTGCTTGTATAGCTACATTCATAGACCCTTTCCGCACGGCGGTGGGTAACCCTGTGCCTACACTGTATTAATTCAATTTTCCTATGTTTTTATGTCACCTTTACCGTAGATACCTCGCGGTGAACTCATCTGAGCGCCCTATGTTCATTATTTTGACGTCACCGGCAGCCCTTACCACGCTTTATGTTCCGTTTGATCCGCTTCTGTTCTAGCCCCGGCGTCGGCAGCCATTCAGTGTTACGTGTGCGACAGCTCGAGCCAGATTGGCTGCGCCGAGTTCCTCTCTGACACGTCGTTGCTGGAGCCGCAGTCGTGCGACAACGTGTACGGCGCCCAGTACTGCGTCAAGATGACGCAGGTGTTCGAAGGTACACGGACGTACCTCTGGTACACGGACGGACCTCGGACCTGGCGGCCGCCGGCGCCACTAACCAGCTGACTGGGGGCAGCCTGCGTCCTAGTGGTGGTGATGGTGGAGGCCTTGAGCATGGGTGCTTCCGCTGGTGGTAGCTGATGGTCTGTGGTCTCGCAAGGTGACGTCTAGTGAAGTGTTCGCAGGCCGGTGGTGCTGGTCCGTCATTTTTCAGATCTCTGCAGATTGGGGGATAAATTTCGTAGGCTGATTTCAAAGAGCAAAAGTTGTCAATTTCAGAACACGCAAACCGTCAAAGTCCACTTCCAGCGGCTTGAATTTTAGATGCCGGTCACAGCTTTCCCCTGGAACCACTCAGTGGTTCTCAAATTAGTGTCATGCAGCAAGCCATGCGCAAACTAGTATATATTCAAAGAGGTTAGGGCTGGACCGTAACGTGGTGGACAGGGACACCAACAAAAAGTATTTCAACATTGCAAACGCTCACCGCTGGACCAGAGTCGCACGTGACAAGAATGCTGGCTCATCTCCCTGTGCAAGCTTCGGGCCGCCGATCTGAGCATTACGGGGCCGTCTCCGATCCCCATCGCCCTCTCATCTGAGCACTAGTGGGCCGTCTCCGATCCTCATCGCCCTCTCCTGCTCCAAGTGAATGCACAGGAAGGCCTGCGACGAGCGTTTTAAAGGGAGATCTTTCTGGCTTGTCAGAGCACCCATTTCGCTATCATATGGGGGGGGGGGGGAGGAGGGACAACGACACGGATTTTACCTCAGGTCGCACGCATGCCAACTAACAGAACTGCAGTCATTCTGATGTGTCACAGGTAAGAGCCCCGGCCCCAGGATGAGGAAACTAACAACCATTTCCTCTCAGTGCGACGGAGTTCGGTGGAGCTCTGCCTGCAGCCTGCGGAACTAACGCTTCTGAGAGTTGGCACAGATGGCAGCACTAGCACTCATGCTCGCTGACTTGTCCATCTCTTCTGTCCTCTGCAGCCCTCGCCATTGACTGTTACCAGTGTGACACTGTTCATGACATGGCCTGCGGCGAGCGATTTGACACGGGGAGGGCCGAGAGGCTCGGCAACGTGCCCCGCTCCTGTTCAGCGGTGTATGGCGCCGCGTACTGTATCAAAGCCACAGGTATCTTCGAAGGTACGCCGGCTCCTCGTGCTCACCGCATGCCATCTCACTGCATGGTGTACTGCACAGTGCACTGCATGTCTCCGGTGCACCTCGTGCTCACCGCATGCCATCTCACTGCATGGTGTACTGCACAGTGCACTGCATGTCTCCGGTGCTCCTCGTGCTCACCGCATGCCATCTCACTGCATGGTGTACTGCACAGTGCACTGTACTGTCTCCGGTGTGGTGGTTCTTAGACGTTGCATGAGCTCTACTTTCGGATGGATCTTTTTTCTTTTGAAAGTGCCTGTACCTAGATCTGAGTGTTTCATCGGCGTGGTTATTTTGTTGTCTTGGAAAAGACAAATCAGCATTGCGCTCATGACGCATCATTGTTTATCGTTTGAAGCTGGGCGTGGGTATTGTATGCGATCGATTGAGTGAACTGTCGTGCCCTGTTGTGCTGCCACGTATGTCAATGCCATTTGTGGCATTGATCTGACGTGGTCTCTTGGTGTCTACGGCGGCAGTTCTGATATGGGCATTGGACGTGCTTTATTTATTTTATGTTTTGAAGGCCGCTGAACGTATTTTCTTGCATGAAATGTACCTCGTACGTTTTCTGACGTGAAAGATCGCTTAAGTCAATCGGTCTCTTATTTTGCAATTGCCTCCATTTATTGTTTGTCTGGCGGCGCACAATGGCTCATGATGGTATAACGTGATCTATGCATACATCGATTTGTAACATTGTCATCTTATGACGTTAATACGGAAAGGCCGTTGAGGTTTCCAATAGTGTGGCTGCATTTTTCCGAAAAAGTGAGTCATAAAAATGCGAAAACCAGCTGATTGCGCTGAAGCAGCGCAATGCACGTTGTCGTGGCACCCTGTCAACGGCCAGTCAGCTACTACAACAGCGTAATTAACGCTCAGGGATTCTATGGATTTACTGGGATTGAAATCGACAGTCACGTCGCATGTTGTAGTCCCAACCACTCGGCCAGTGCGCAGCCTGGGAATCAAGTTGTTAGCCATTCTTGGCCGTGAGGCATTTTGTTATGAAATGCCAGGAGTCATACTCCGCAGACGTATGTCTCCGTAGTCGATGACCCCGTCGTTCGTTTATTCACTCATGCGAGCGGCGCGTCTGAGACAATATGGCGGGCGTTGCAGGTCAGCTGGGCACGAAGCGGTTCTGTTCGTCGCGCAACTTCGGCGATTACTGCGAATGGGTCAAACGCCCTGGCGACGCGAACACGTACCAGGCGTGCGTACTTACATGCGGCACATCCGCCTGCAACAGTTCCGCCAGTCTCCGCGGGGCGGCGCTGCTTGTCGCCATGACGACGGTCTTCGGTTTGGTGTGCTGGCTGCAGGTGGCGCGATAATAGCTAGTTAGCAGCGGTGCGTTGTGGATATGCCAGGCAGAAAATCTCTGCTGAGGCAGAATGTTCGCTGCTGGGACAATATGTACACTGGACGATTATTATCAGTTGCTGAATCTCAGAGATTAAAGGCATATTGTGACGGACTCTCCCGACCAAATGGATGGCGGTCACCTGTGGTGCATTGCATTTCGCAAGTGTAGGCGTCAATTCTAACCATTCCATGGAGCTGGGATTCTCATGCGCAAATGCCATGATTTGATGCTTGTTCAACCCGTCACTATGTTGTGCTAAAACCTTTCGGTGACTTTGGAAGTGCTTGTCGAATGCAGCTGTAACATTTTTTATAAGACTTTCCAGCGACATTGCAAGAGGTCGCGCGAACGTGTTTTTAGCTTCTTGAAGCAGAGTTGGTAAACGTGAAGTTTGAGGCGTGTATATGATCTGCAATTCAAAACACTCGCATAGGCACTGCTCACCCTACAGACGACTTCAGTAAAGCTCGCCAAGCCCAGCTACCGGTTTGTGCTTACCTTCGCCGTGGCTCGCGTAATAAATGAGACGTGTATGGACGGCTGTAAGCGGACATGTTTGCTCGTGCAGCGCATGCCTTGCGCTGCTTCCCACTGTCGTGGAATGCGCACGTTGTAACGCTCCGCCATTGTAACGATCCGTCCAATGGATTCTTCTGAACGTTCGTCGATTATTAGGAAATGCCAGTAGATAATGAAATTTTTGAATACACATATTTTGTCGAGGTGTTTGAGTTTGCTCCGCGATGAATGGAGTGGATGGTAATGCCAGGCGAACCGGCTGTTCTTTCGAGACGTGAAACGAAAGGCTTCATTATCTGCCTCTGAAGACTGTGTCCCTAACGGCGCTGATTGTGACCAGAGGCTGTGATGATGATCACAACCAGCGGCTGTGACACGACTGTTTCACGGCGGGTTGTAACACGGCTGTGCTTGACGGCTGTGGCTCAGTGTCGTCAGCCGCCCCGGTGCGTGTGCCCCCGGCTCGGCGGAAGTGGGACGTGTGCAACAGGGCGCGACCGACCTTGGCGGCTGCACCGCGGCCACGATGCCTGGACAGTTCGCGGCGCTACCCACCAGTGACGGCAGACACCCACCGGTGACGGCCGGCAGCTAACAAGTGACGCCTGATAGTCACCGGGAGACACCTGACGGACTGGAACAGGGGAGCGGCGAAGAGGAGCGGGCCCGGGGCCGCCCCTTCCCCTAGACCGGGATTTTAGTTTCGTTTTTCCCATACATGACTCGAGACAAAAATGAAAAATTCATTGTGAGGTGTACTCACCGCCCCCCCCCCCCGTCGAAGAGTTCTGGCTGCGCCTTTGGACTGGAGTGACATCTCACAGCCGTCGGGTGTTCCTCTGACGGGGCCCGGGCGGACCTGACAGCCGCTGGATAACGTCCCACAGCCGGCAGTAGTCTCGGCCCCGATGTTGGAGTCGGTTGTCTCAGTAAGCCAGATGATTGTCCGGCATCCCTGACTTAGACACGGGCGGTCAAAAAAACATACCATTGTTTTTTTTTGGCGAATGCTAGTTTCTTTGCAATTTGAATGTGGCAGAAGGTTCACAGCGTTTAAAGAGACAGGCTTTGACACGTGCGCGAGTTTTGACGAGACCTTCGGTTCGGTGGTTCCTCCCTGTCCGTGTATGAATGGTCTCCCTGCGGTGAGATCTTGCGGTGATTATGCGACATTGGTGTGAGATCAACTCTTTCTGGTGCAACGAAGCGCTGTATGAAACCTGGACTGGTCCCGCAAGCATACCGTCAAGGAGACCAGAGAGGGACTCAACACCCATCTCGGAGAGCAGTGGTTGGCTGGTTCTTTAATGCTGAGTGCTCACTGCGTTCTTCGGACCAAAGTACCTGCTTTTTTGCTTTGGGAATACTCGGTGTTGCTGGCATTGGTGTTAACAACACACTCAGCACTTGAACTAAATGGGGTCGCATGCCTTTCGTCCTGGTGGGAGTGGTGGACACCGCTGGGAGTTGAACCCAGTACCTTTGGTTTCCCGTACGCCTAGTGGATATTCGAAGCATGCTGTATTATGCAAACTCAAATCGAAAACCGGCTTTACACTAAAAATAGCAGACATTGAATGCGTGAGCTTAATGTGTGTAGCAACCTGCAAGTGTATTCAAAGGTAATCAAAGACACGAGATACGAAGACGAGGAAGACATCTGGGGCACCTCATGGACTGGCTGGACAAAAGCTGCACTAATTAAAACCGAACTGAGCTGCAGCTACTAGCTGCCAGATTCGGACGTCGAATTTCGTTAGTATGTTGCTGCAGACGTTTCGTCAAATGTAGAGATTGGTGCTACAAATAATTCAATTGTGATATTTTCCAAGACCCAGGCCTTCCAAAGGACAACGGTGTTAGCTTACGTATCTCTTTTGTCGAGCGCCATGCGCATGGAGATGGCACGATACATAAAGTTAATGGAACGGTATAAAACTGAACAGATAAAAAACAAATCATCATGGATATGCAGTCAAACGACACGAAATTATCAATCCAAGATGATAAGGTTGAATTCTGCCTAATGTTCCGTAGCCCAGCTCATAGTCAGCTGACTCGGGCACCTCAGGCCTTGCCTGCATCCATCTTCGGTCGGTGTTTGGTCATCTGTGCTCGGGTTTTGGTCGGTTGGTGCAGATCATTAGCATTTAGAATGCGTCGTTGCCCAAGCAAAGCATCGCATCAGGCATGTCGTTGGCCTCAGGTGGACGTCGCGAGCGGGGGAAGGCATTTTCAAAACCAGTTTGGGGGACGTGAGAGCGAGATAATGGCCGAACTACCCGCAAAGTACGCTAAGAAAGGGGCTTTTACCCGACTTTGACCCACTCCTCTCTCAAAGCTGGAAGGGCCACGAGGACTCCCTCCCCGGTCCCGGAACTGAATGCCGAATCACACCGTTGGCTGAGAGATCACTGAATAGTTGGCGAATACAGGTGGCGCGTTGAAGACCTCGGAGACACTGCATTTGACATGGGCACCAGCGACTTTCCTAAAGAAATCTCCAAACGTGTTGCGGAAACCGCTTTGAGAAATGCGTCATTGCTCCTTGGCAAGCAAAGCTTGTAGCGAAGGCCCTGTCCACACTTCTCTAATGGAGCAATGTCAAGTAAAAGAACAGTTTTTCGCGAAGCGATTTTCTGGTGCGACGCGATCCTGCGACCCTGTTAATGCAAGCTGTGAAATGTCTTGTTGCGTAGGCGTGCAATGGCAGTGACCTTTTCGTTACCTTCATGTCGCGTGGAAGACAAAGCTTATGTCTAGCTTGGAGCCTAGCTTGGTAGCATTTTACACTCTGTGACGGACCGTTAAAAGCTATTGCCTGAAGCCTCTGTTGGGGACGATCTCGTCTTCCGAAGAAATTCGTTGCGTTTCAGCCCATTTCCCGTCCATCACTGTATCTCATTTCCTTTATCACCTACCACTAACGACCGGTTAACAGCCCCATAAAATAAAAAAAAAACAGGCAAACAAGCTCATTTCCAGCGTTTCCGCATTGCAGGCCGTTCGGGATCTCAGGATCACATGTGTCCAGGGCAGAGTGCAGGGGCTGACTCGCACGAGGGCTACTGCCATCCGAATCCGTTATAATGGGTTCGGTTTGTTTTCATATTGTGCCGAACGGTAAACGTACAATACTGGCGCTATCAGCATGAGCGGTTATGGTACGTGCACTGACCGAACCCCGTGCTCGCTGAACCGACCGCGCCCCGCGCCGGCTACACCCACAGGTGGGAAGCAGTCAATGCCAGGCCACCAACCGGTCACTTACATTAATAACGGCGGCCGCTTCCGCCAGCAGGGCATGATGTGGCGCATTCCGCGTCGTCGTTGCCAGCGCTCTAAACGCTGGGCAGGCGAGGCGGCCAAGGCTTCACTGCGGCCGCATGTAATCGCCTGTGCTGCGCAAGGTTTCGGTGTTTTCACTTCGCACGGAGCTTGGATGTCGGCCTTGTCCGTCGCTGCCGCCTCAGCCGCCTTCCAGCACGTACCAAGAGCCGTGCGGGCCCATCTTGGGGCCCTGGGCGGTCCCCGCTGCAGCGACGACGTGTGCTAGGATTGTGCGCGTTTTGAGAGACCGCCTGGTCGGACCCAGGCGATAAATTTTGTTTGGGTGAAAGCAACGCTGATAGCAATCGTGCATTTTCAGTACATGTGAGAACGTTGGTAGTTGTCTACAGAGGACTTATAACAAAAGCAAACAAAAACAAGCGTTGAACTGTGTTTTGGGTGGCTTTGAACTTATTACATGCAGTGTAACGGCCAGGCTCAGACTGCCGGGTCGTAGAGGGCAAATCACACTTTTGCAGCGCGTGTCATGCTTGCCATTCCGCACTTGGGTCGTGGTCGGTGAACGGCACTGAACCCTGCTGACCTCTTCTTACCTCTACTGACCGCTGCTGAGAGATGAGACGTCCCGCCGCAGGTCACGACCCCCATGTAATGCATCATTGTTTAATCTTGTTTATACAACTTGGAGAAATGTTCTGCCGGGTGATTTTTCATGTTCTTTACCCGTCAGCTATATCAAAGCTCGGTTCCAAAATATTTGTGCATTGTACACGACAAAAAATTGACAGTGAGCAAATCTGGTCATTTATTACGGTGTCGACAAGGCATCCCAGCGCCGCGCTGCCTGCTTCATGATCACGCGGTCCACACCCTCCCTCCAGGTCTGCACCAGCACCGTTGATGGTGCGGCCCTAAGCGAAGCCAACCGCTCTTTGATTTGATGCGTTTAGGCTGGGTAAAGCGACTACTGCATGAACTGGATCAATTTGATCCAGGCGAAGAGGAGTACGTAACGCACTGTTGCTGCGTTGATCCTTCTCTGCGTGACCACTAGGCAAAAGCAAGTTTTCAGCCCCTGTCACACGTTGACATTGCGTACAACTCTGGTCGAACTGGCGGGGAGGGTCATGAGAAGATGGCCGAGTTTGACGACTTCAGGGACGGTTCCCGCACGCTGTGCCTCCCGTTGTGGAAAACAGACAGGAGAAGGGGTATAAGTTAGGCACCAGGGGGCTGTATTTGCCCCCTTGACAGATGGGAACGGGTGGTTCTCCCTTGCCGCTCTGGTGGCGCTAACCCTGGGCGTCTCCGTAGGGAGACATGAATGAAACTGTGTCCGTTCAGGTTAAATGAGTGATATCTTACAACATGATTAACTTAAAACAAAGCCCATTCGAAGCTGCATGTTTTGACTTGTACTATGTATTGAAAAACCGTGCCCGGCGGATAGGGACATTTGTGACCTCTTACAAATTTGCCAGCGCGTTGCGAAAATAAAACGACGCAATGTCCGCGAAATCTTCAGCACCATTTTTTTATGCACGTATCCAAAATCTTCTCGTGGGCGGACGATTGGGTGGGGACTGACGTTAAATGTCCTTCGAAAGCTGCAAGCCTGGACCCAATTTCTGCGAAATCGCCCAGTACCTACCGTAAACCTCTTGGCTCAGCCGCCTTGTTCCCGTTCCCTTTTCCTTGGCTTCGTCCCAATATTTCCTGGGATCTTTTCCAATGCTTTCCGCAGTTGTCAACGCCATTGCAACTTAGGTCACGGACAGAGGCTGGATTAAAATAAGCATAAACTTTCTATTACTGTACCTCGCTTTAGAGTTACACATTTGAAGTGTTGAGCTAATAACGTAAATCACATTTCAGTTGTTGTATTAAACTTCTGAAAGACGCTTCGGGAATTGAA